GAGTCCAGGAGAGGAGCTGCTCACGCAGTTTCTGAGGGTGACCAAGGCATACCCTGCTGATGTTGTGGTCACCCTCCTGCGCTGTGCCTCATCCTGTGACAGGTACAGGACCCCCTGCCTTTGGGGCTTGGGGCTCACCAGTCTTTAGACCCCTTCACCTCGTCCATCCCATCCCTCGTGGTCAGCCAGAGGGATGGGGAGTTCCAGGACCCTCTGGCCCCTCTGTTTCCCAGTCCTGCCATGTCAGCCCTGATCCTGCTGCCATGCTCCCTCCCTGCTCCTCAAGGCCCTTTGGCCGGCACCCCCTGACACACAACTCTGGCCCCGCAGAGCTGCTGCCAGCATGTGGAGGACCATCGCCTCATCAGAAATGGCACTGGAGAAGGTGCTGCCAGAGTTGCTCTATGTGATTGAGGACTGGCCAGTGCACAGCACGTGCACCTCTGACGAGGACAACACGCCTGTCTTTGCTCTGGCTGTGAGTTCCTGCAATGGGCTTTGGCTCCTTCCCAGGTCACCTCTCCAGTGGGTCTCCTTCCTCCCCAACACTGCATCTTCCTGCCTCAGGCACGGGGCTGGGAATGTAGGTTAGGGCCAGGTTCAGGGGCACCAGGCCAGGGGCTCCCCCTGAGTCTCCCCTGGGGTCTCCCTCCCACAATCGAGCCCTGCCACATGGACATCTGGGCACTGAGAGCTGATCTGGGTGGTTTATCTTTTGCAGGCAACCAGGGGGATCTGGGAGATCCTCCAGATGATCCGGTGCCCAGGGCCATTGGTGGAGTACTTCCCCTGTCTCCTCGTGGCTCTGCTCTTCCAAGTTCTTGCCAGCACAGAGCAGATGCCAGAGGAGGTTGACACCTTTTGGAGGGGATGCCAGGAGCAACAGAACCTTCCCACCAACCCCAGCAGGTGCTCCATCCCAGTCCTCCTGTGCCTTCCATGCCCTTGGGCCTGCGTCAGGGCTCCCAGCATGACCTGGCCTTTGCTCTGCACACAGGTTTGCAGTGGTGACCATAAAGGCCCTGCTTTGCCATCTTGAGTGTGAGGCTGTGGTGGTTTCAATGGAGCGCAAGTGTGGCTGGGACACGCTCCTCAGGCCTGACACCCACCACTACGCAGTGGGTCTGCTGGCCAGGTGAGACCCCCTTGTCCCTGCTACCCCTGTCATTTCTGCCTGTGCACGGGGCACCCCCACAGTGCCCGTGGTCATGGGCCAGAGGGCCTTGTCACCCAGGGATGGCTGAGCAGAGTAGAAAAGGCTGGGAGAGGCGGGGGCACAGGAGGAGCCGCCTCCCAGAGTGCCCTCGTCCCCTCCTGAGCTGGTGGGGAAAGACCAGGCCTCTGTGAGTCCATCCCAGCAGAGGTTTTACCCACCCGGCTCAGGTCGATGGTGCCTTTTTCCCCCTGCCAGGGAGATCCGCCGTGTCTCCAGCCCCTTGTGTTCCCGGATCACACTCCACCTTCTGGAGCTGCAGGGCAGGGAGGAGCCCCACTTGGAACTCCCCACTGTGGCATTCCTTGTGGAGGTGAGCCTGATGGCGAGCGCTGCCTCACTCTCTTGGAGGGCCCAGCCCTGCTCAGGTCTGGGCTCCTGCCGGCCAGGCACCCCCTCACTGCTCCGTGCCTTTCAGGTCCTGGACTGGGTGGACGTGAGTGAATGGGGAGACAGCCTTGTGCAGATGCTTTCAAGGCACCTCCTGAGTGCGTGCCCAGAGAGGCGTCGCCTGGCACTCAGAGCTCTTGTGGTGCTGAGCAAGGATCCTGCGATGGTGAGCAGGGGGCAGGGGCTGAAGCCGTGCAGGCAGCGTGGGGCTGGGCAACGCAGTCACTTGGGCTGGGCTGGGCTTTGGGAGCTGTGGCAGCTGCTCCCAGCTCTGCTGCCTCCCTGTTCAGCTGCCCCAGTCCCTCGGGACAGGCCTTTGGCCTCCGGGCCCAGTGGCAGCACCTGGGGCTGCCCTGCCCGAGCGGGGTTGGCTCTGCAGCCATTCATGGCTTCACAGCACAGCCTTGTGTTCCTCACAGGCTGACGGTGTGTGGACCCTGACAGAAAGCCTCACGAGCCTACTGTGGGATGCAGATGAAGAGCTGGTCGTGATGGCTCTCTGTGTATTCCTCAATGAAGTTCGGGGCAGACACACCCCAATCTCCACCCTCACTGCCCAGGAGCTGGTTGAGGCACTCCCGACACTCTTTGGCTACGTAAGGCTCTGTGCCCCCCACCACAGGCACTGGGTGCTGTCAGGAAACTGTGGCCTGTGCATTTGCAGGCCTGTGCCCCGTTGAGCCTGGAGCAGCCAGTGCTGAGGTCTTTTCTTCTTCCTTTGCATCAGGAGAACATCCGTGTGCAACTGCTCTCCGTTCGCCTCTTCCGAAAGGTGTTGAAGTTGGTAGAGGAGGAGGGAAAAAAAGAGCTGGAGACACACCTGATCCCGAGCCTGATGCCACTCTTCTTCCTCACAAATGATGAGAACGAGGATCTGGCAGACGTGAGGACTTTCTGGATTCTGGTGTCCCCGTGGGAGGGGGCTGGGCTGTCTCCTGCCCTGGTGCCTGCTGGGCTCCCACGTCCTTGTGGCCTTGGCGCAAGGACACGGGTCCTGTGGCCTGGGCTGTGGTGCCATGTCCTGCTCCCTGTTGCTCTGCAGGCCTCTTGGGAAGCGGCAATTTGTGCCTTCAGGTTCCTGAGGAGAAAGGATCTCACGAACCTGCTGAAGGCGGACAAGCCCGGGTGGTTCTGCGACTGCCTGGTAAGGATGGCCATGAAGGCCCAGCCCCAGTCTTGAACAGCCCCAGACCCCGATGCCCCGAGTGTGGGGCTGGCACTGTGCCCCTGCCCACTGCTGCAGCCCCTGTGGGACAGCAGCCTGCGCCCCAGCCGCTGCTGCCTTCCCTGGGGCGTGCGGGCTCCTCTGCAGCTCCTGTGCCCCCGAGCCAGGGTGCCGCTGGAGCCCCGGCCCAGCTGGGCTGTGGGGCAGGGCGGCCAGTGCTGGGCGCAGGCAGCGCCCGGCCAAGGGGCAGAGCCCCAGCCAACCATTCCCTCTGTGCCTGCCGCTCTCTGCAGGTGGAAAGTGAGAAGAAAAGAGTGGTGGAGTTCATGTGCCAGATCCTACCATACGTGGAGAGCCCACAGGAGCGCCTGAAAGAGATGGCTCTCAGGTTCATAGGTGAGCCACAGGGTCCCTGCCCGCTCAGCCCCATCCCCGGCTGCTGCAGCTCAGTCCCAGCCCCGGCTGCTGCAGCGGCAGCAGATGCGGCCAGGGCTGTGCTGGGGAGCCCCGAGTGCCCTGGCGGTGCTGCCGCCCTGTGCCAGCCCAGCCCTGGGGCGTCCCCAGGCGGGAAGGGCCCGGGCTCAGCCCTGCCAGGGCAGGAGGATGTGTGGCCAGGCTGGCAGTGCCACTGGGGGGGAGCTGTGACACCACTGGGGCCCTGACAGCATCTGTGTTCCCAGGGATCACCGCCAAATACCTGAGAAAGGGGGAGGAGGAGGATGAGTCCATCACAGAGGTCATCCTTGAGGGTGAGTGCGGGCAGTGGGCTGTCAGTGGGGGCTGGTGGAGGAGCACAGACCCTGGGCAGGGAGCTGCAATCCTGCCCCAAGTGTGGAGGGCTTTGCTCCCTGCATGTACAGAGCAGAGACAGATTTCAGGGACACGAGGGTGTTGGTGGGCAGCACCTTCTGGCTGATCCCATTGGGCCCTGCTCCCTCCTGGCCATGGCAAGAGCTGGATGGGATGGCCCTGGCAGGAGGGGCTCCTCAGGGCCCTGCAGATGCTGGCTCTGATCTTGGCTCCATTCTTTTCTCTTCCAGCCCTTCAAAGCATGACTGCTGACAGCCCTGCCATCACAAAGCGGGCAGATGAAACCATGAAAATCATCAAGGACTTCCAGAAGTCAAAACCAAAACCGAAACCGAAGCCCGCACCAAAACCAAAATCTAAAGCCAAGCCCAAATTCCGGTAGTCTACGTTCCTCTCTGTTCCAGCCCTGAGGAACGAGCAAGGACACCGGAGTTGGCATCGCAGGGCTGTCAGTTCCAAACTGTACATGCTAAGAGCTGGAGAGACAGCTCCCTGCTCCAGATTGCAGCAGCTCCAAGAGTGGCTAATATCAAATATGAAATACATCTCTACCTCTTCTCAAAGACAGAGACTCAGGAAGTTTTTTTGAGTGCCTGGTGTCCATAGAAGGGAAGAGGGGGAGAAGGGCCCTTGTGCTCAGCAAGACTTGCCCAGGGGTGCAGTGGGGAGGAGAAAGTGTCCCAAAGGCCCTTGGCCTTGGGGAGTTCTGCTGGAGCCTCAACGCTTGCAGCAGAGTGGATGGGCAGAGCCTGGAGCTGTGGGGATCCCTGAGAAGCTGGTGCTTGGAGGTGGCCACACGGTCTGTCCCAGCCAGGAAGCAGCACGTGTGGCCTGCCCGTGTGCTGCTGCTGTGTGGATTGCTGAGGGCTGGGAGGTGCCTGTGGAGC